TAAAGTTTTGAAGTTTCATCTGCAAAGAATTTAGCCTTTGAGGCATTCGAAGAAGCTCTCTTTTCACTTGAACTGAGAGTTTGACTTGAGCTCATAAGAACACAACCTATTTTGAATAACCACGATAAATGCTATGGAACAATTAGGCATTTCACTAAAACACCACTTTTTAGTTCAATCAAATATACATAGTCTAAAATGTCTCCGCAATTTTGGTCATTGATCAGTAATTGATATAGCTGCATCAATTCATGTTGCTCCAGCTAGACAGCGCCACCTTCTGGTACGCCTGTGCGGACATCACTCTCCTTCCTCCTGAAACACCTGGTATAAATGCTGGGTGAGATCCGCTGCAACAGACTCACTGGAATTCCAGGAGATCATGGACAGACAAGTACTCCATCAATTCCCAAGAAACCCCTGGTGAATCGAGTGTTGGTCAATGCGAGATCCTTTGGCAGCGTTGAAGTGAGCAGCTATCCTACCATCTCTTAGGATTGGAAGGAAGAGAAATTGTGCCCACATGACAAGATTAAGGATGGTAATGACTGCCAGGAGGAAGGTCCAGTATCACAGGAATGTGAACATCTTCTCATACATTTCGGTGATCGGCAGAGTGTTCATCTGGGCGAGATCCCTTGGCAGCGTTGGTGTGGGCAGCTATCCTGCCATCACTTAGAAGAGAAATCCACAGGACATGATTAAGGATGGCGATTACAGCGAGGAGGAAGACCCGGTCAAATAGTAAAAGCGGAATGGCAACAACCCCTGCCTCTCCCCCCAAATTCTCCCCACCCTCTCTATATCAGAGAGTCATATACAATGACATTCCTATTCTTATTTTCATAGCTTAATAAGATAATTACCACAACAGATGAGGAAGTCGATTTGTTAAAGAAAGACATTTGAGCCCCATCCCTTTAACAAAACATCCATATATGAGCTGTTACAATGACAGAGACGTACCGACTACACAGTATCAAGTAACACTGAATACCCAGAGAGAGCCATGAAACAAGTTTGGAATTCATCAGTTTCCAGAGTACATTCAATGCCAGCAGCATCAGTTCTGCTGTCGCACAATCAGCTTTGTCTCCGGTATTTCAGCACCAGAGGGTAGATCAGGCATCAGGACAGCCACTTCCGTTCTTGTTGCTTCAGCAGCGACATCCCATCCTTCAAGTTTTCCTGTGTAAAGATGTCGCTGATTTTCACATTCCTCTTCCTCCTGAAACAGTTGGTGCAAATGCTGGGTGAGATCCGCTGCAACCAACTCACTGGAATTCCGGGATATCATGGACAAGACAAGTACTCCGTCAATCCCCAGGAAACTGCTGATGAATCGAGTTATAGAGCGTTCGCCTGGGCGATATCCTTTGGCAGCGTTGACATGGGCAGCTATCCTGCCATCTCTTAGGAACGGCAGGAAGAGAAATCCTGCCCATAGGACAAGATTAAGGATGGTGATGGCAGCCAGGAGGAAGACCCAGTACCACAGGAATGTGAACATCTTCTCATAGATTTCCGTGTGCACTGTACTGCACGCCTTTGAATTGACTGCGCCATATGAGTTTGAAAATAGCAAAACACGTCTTTCACCAGCACTGGTTTTATGATGGAGTCCATATCAAAACCAGCAGAGGAGCCAATCCTGATTGCCAGGTTTTGTCTGAAGTATATCGTCAGGAACATCAACTGTGCTATCAAATTGACACGAGAGGAGCTTCATTAACAGGTACAGAAGTGCCAGAGAGAATCGATTTCTTCTCAACAGACTTGCAAATACTCGGGCTGCATGACGGAACATGACCTGGCAGTTCCCAACATTGGTTACTTGTACACTTTTCAGTGATTCCACAGTTTCCTCCATATTGAAAGTGAATAAGTCCTTGGTGCTGTTCCAGATGATGTTTGGTACTTTGAAAGCGAGGGCTTGGAAGAAGAGTATGAGTGGTATCCAGAGGTGGTAGGAGGGGACAGAGGCAGGAGGTCCATCACTTTTATAATCAAGCATTGGTTTGTTATGATACATGTCCTTCAGAAAACACGATTCCTGTGTGTAAGAGTCCATGTTGTGTGTGAATTCCGCAGGGTTCCAGCAACTGATGGATGGAGTCGTGTAACGTACAACAAATGATCCCACAGAACACACGGCCAATAGAAGGACTGTCCAGAAGCTGTTGATGGAGTCGACATAATCCTGATCTAGTCCACGTCCAAACCATTGTCGGGATGCACCCATTATTGTCTAGAAACAAATGAACACATTCAGTCATATTAGAAAGATTCACAGCTTCAGCAACTTTACCATTTATCATATGTGTACAACATTATTTTAGCGTGAGATGACATATTTTTGTATAGATCATTACCTGATCAAGAGGTGCTATGGGTAAAACTACAGAGAGCAACAAGTAACATATTTTAAATATTTAACACTTTGTCAAATGTATAAATATGATCCTTGGGGTTAAATATAAATTATATTTAGTCAACTGGTGATTAATATGAAATATGGTAGAAAAACCTGTCGAATCGTTGCAAAAAACTGAAGAATATTTGAATATATCATACTGAAATGTGTACATCTCCTCCGAACTATCCATGATTAAACCTAAATACAACAATAAAACATCAACACTTACTATGCTCATGTGGCTATGTCGTCTTTGTGAAGTGACTGAATCTAACTCGTTTGACGTCTCACCAAAGGTAGTAGAACCGTTGTCGACACACCCAGCTACAGTACTGACCATAGTCCACACTGTTTTGTTCAAGTGTGTGTCGGAATGGCTGCAGGACATGGTGATAGGCTCTCTACTTATCCAATTAACGTGTTTGTATAGCAAATTATTGCAAATTGCTTGCTTCTGACATTTTCATATGTAGAGTGCTGCTGGTCATTCAATAGCCTCTTAGGCGGGTGTGACTACGAAAATGGTTCCGCTTTTCTTCGGTCAAATGTCCAGACGAGTCCATACATAATAATAGAACAGTATGTTAAGACAGGCTCATGTGTCGTCTCCCGAAACAGCATTTGGCAGAATTGTCTTAAAAGAATAGCGTGCTCATTTTTTCATAGAAATGAAAAGGAGTAAGATCTTTAATTAAAACAACCCAACAATTATAAAGAACCAGTGTAATTTAAGAGTTGTGAGCAAAAACCCACGATCTGATATCGTTTAATAATTGTCAAAAAGTCAAATCACATCTTCCATCAGTGGTTGCTATATAGCTCAAATATAGCCGATGTGACCTAAACTTTAACTCACTCTGCTTCAGATTCAAAGTTTCTAAAAGGATGACGATAATTTTCAAAAGTCATGTTTCCATTTATGGCCTAGTGGACAGAGCATCCTCCCAGTAAGGGGTTAAACAAGGAGCGGTCGACACGGAGTTACTGTGATATGTCAGAGGCAAAGCATCTGCCCAGCAAGGGGTTAAACAAGGAGGGGTCGAAGGAGAGTTGCTGTAATGTGTCAGGGGCAAAGCATCTGCCCAGTAAGGGGTTAAACAAGGAGGGGTCGAAGAAGAGTTGCTGTAATGTGTCAGGGACAAAGCATCTGCCAAGTAAAGGGTTAAACAAGGAGCGGTCGACCCGGAGTTGCTGTAATGTGTCAGAGACAAAGCATCTGCCCAGTAAAGGGTTAAACAAGGAGTGGTCGACCCGGCTGTAATGTGCCAGAGACACCAGACATGGGCCTCACACATTATACCCATGTGGGGAATCGAACCCAGGTCTTCGGCGTGACGTTCAAACGCTTTTATCACTAGGCTGTCCCACCGCCCTGCTACATTCTTAACCCGAGTTCTTTCAGACTAGACCCAAACTAAATCCATTGTAATTTGACCGATTCACAAGAATCACAAGTAATTCTTTCTGGCATTTATCCCTAGTGATCCAGTGAAGACCTGTAAACTCTGGACTGTCGTTGTTTTCATTGCTGGAAGTACATGTAAGTTTTGTTCATTTACAGCTGTGTTTTGACTTTAATGACTTCAAATCAATTTTCGCAATTGTCAACGTTCACATTAAACCAAGCAATATTCCTGCACCTCCAGTCTTGCGGTCTACATCTAACACATTTCAGGCTTGATTGAGAATGTTCTTCCCGTCATGAATCTTGTCACGAAAGTGTGTATTTTGTAAGTTGTAATATTGCATTGATTAACTGATAGTTATTATGAGTCACAAAGTATAAAGTTTTGAGTGTGAGTTTTGGCTCGCATCTTGCATCATGTGTGTTCAATGGCAATAGTATTTTTAGCGTTTGAGATAGCGCTTTGGCAATCTTTATTAGTTTTAACTTCTGGTGATACTTACCGTGGAGCCTTGTGTTTCGATGGCATTCTATAACATTCTGAGAGGATAGTGATGTAGCCGAGCTTTGCCAGAATGCTCGAGAACTGTGCAAGAGCTATATAAATGATGATTGTTAAGTTCTGCTACGGGGACTAACACATGACTTAAAGCACTTCGGATTTATACAAATCTGTCTGCCATCATCAAGTTTATCAACGTTTCAAGACCGACTGTGTTTGTCTATTCAACTGCTGTCATTGTCAACAACCTTCAATCAGTCTATCTGTTCTCGCTGTGAATGTCCAGTCTAAGTAAACTTAGCCTCAGTATTATTCGTTACACTACTATACTGAGACTAAGTATAGCAGTGTAACGAATAATACTGAGTCTAAGTTTACTTGGACTGTGTGAATGTCAAGACTCTGGTGAGTTAATATTTTAGATTTTTGACTCAATTGCATTGTACAAGAAATCTGTATTGTCATTCATTGTAACTTGCTCATTGTATGTTCAATATATTATTGAATATTTTAGACTTGTGTTCTATTTTGCTGGATTCAAAAACCTTTTGTCACGGCAAATTATTAATCGTAACAGTCTCCAATATGTTTCATACACCTACGTGTCACTTAGTGAAACACCAGGCCTCATCACTGATTTGCAGTGATGAATTCATACAAACTTTAAAGTTTTCAAAAAGAAATAATCATTTATTGCAGCAATAAATTATCATTAAAAAAGTCATTACTTGTTATCAAGCTGTGATTTGAAATGATATTTTTAATCCCTGTGTGAAATTTCTATGAGGCTTCAAGAATAATTCAAACTGACAGACAAATCAATAGGAAAAACAATTGTTGTTGAGTTTCACGGTCCTGGTTCATTTGCACAAAGACATTTTAGCGTTAACACAACTTTAAGTCAACATTCGGGCATGTAGTTATGACCACACATCGGTTTGCACAAGCGGTTTCTGGCCAATGTGGCAACTTAAAGAAGTGAACTAGGTAAACTAGTCATCTGTGGTGTTGCTTGCTCCGTACGTGGCCTATAGTGCTAGCCCACTCTACTGAAATATTGAAAGATTCTACCGAAACCCTACTTGGCCGTTATTCAAATTTGGTTCTTCGTCAGCGCAGTTCACCTATTGAGATCACCTCACAATGAGCCAACATCTCCCTCCTCCCTATGGGAGGTACTGAAGAAGGACCAAAGCTGAATGACGACAGAGTAAGATTTAGTCAGCACATCATGACATGGAGGTTACCGACAGCGTCATGCCAGTTAACAGCAATGACATGCTGAGGGACTGAGACACCCATCTTTTACTCTCCGGATAGACACTCTGTACATTAGACCATGCATGGACATTGCGAGAAAAGGTTTATGCACTGAGAAAAGGTAAATAGTGTTAAGGGCGAAGTACGAATATATATCAGATATTCTCTAATTTCCTGTGACATTCAAGAGGTCTTCAATGCACTTCCAGGAGAGGTATTGAAGGACTGTGCACAACCGGCACGGTCTACGATATATCTGGTATTAAAAGCGAAATGGCTCCAAATTTGCTGCCCATTTGCCTTAATATCAGTGTTATGCCATGCAAACAAAACATTGGTAAGAAGCAGAAACACTAGAGGTAGTGTCGTAGTGTAGCAACTACATGCCCCAATGTTGAGAAAATATAGACACATTACACAATATATTAATCATATAAATCCTGGTGATCAATATGAAATGTATATGCACCCAGTTCCAGGCATAGATCGACGTTTTTACTGTGACAACTAAACTAATTAACCAGCCAGTTCATCAACAACGTACACATGAGTGATTGTAAGTTGAAAGCATGGGAACACCATGTACGGGTTTGTTTAAGGGTCTCTTATGAAAATCCAGGGCCCAAACATGCCAATGTCATAATGCGTCAGTAGTATAATGTTTCTCTGACTCTGTTTCTCTGTTTCCCGATTTCAATTGAATCCTTAAAGTGTCCAAAATTGTCGGAACCATAGATTCTTGCCCTTGACATATGAGATTTGTTTTAAAAATACGCCAGAAATGCCTTGAATTTTCGAGCAAACTAACTCACTGTACACACGAGTTCTGTTGTCACTTAACTGGCGCTCTCTCTGGAGGTCTGGCACCAGAGGATAGATCACTCATTGGTAATGCTGCTATGCCTCTTGTTGCTTCAGTAAAGACAACACCGCCTCTCGGCTCTTCCGTATAGAGGTTTCGCTGGTTCTTAAATTCCTCTTCCTTTTCCCGGAACACCTGGTACAAATGCTGAGTAAGACCTGCTGCAACCAACTCGCTGGAATTCCGAGACATCATGGTTAAGACAAGTACCCCATCCATCCCGAGGAAACTGCTGATAAATCGGGTTATAGAGTGTTCGTCAGGAGGAGATCCTTTGGCAGCGTTGACGTGGGCAGCTATCCTACCATCTCTTAGGAATGGAAGGAAGAGAAATCCTGCCCATAGCACAAGGTTAAGGATGGTGATGACAGCCAGGAGGAAGACCCAGTACCACAAGAAGATGAACATCTTCTCATAAATTTCCGTGATCGGCAGAGAACACTGAACTCTATGGGAATGAGTGTTCTGCAATATTCGAACTTGAACAACACAAAAAACATGTTTTACAAGCAATGGCTTTATGATGGAGTCCATATCAATACCAGCAGAGGTGCCGATCCTGATTGCCAGGTATTGTCTGAAGTATATCGTCAGGAACATTAACTGTCCTGCAAGATTAACACATGACAGAAGCTTCACGAACAGGTACAGCAGTGACAGAAAGATTCGATTTCTTCTCAACAGACTTGCAAATACTCGAGCTGCATCACTGAAGATGGCCTGGCGATTCTCAGCATTGGTTACTTGTACACTTTTCAGTGACTCCACAGTTTCCTCCATATTGAAAGTGAACAAGTCCTTGGTGCTGTTCCAGAAGATGTTTGGTACTTTGAAAGCCAGGGCTTGGAAGAAGAGTATGAGTGGTATCCAGAGGTGGTAGGAGGGGACAGAGGCAGGGAATATTTTGTCGTAATCAGCATCCATTACTGACTTGTTATGATACAAGTCGTTCAGAAAACACGATTCCTGTGTGTAAGAGTACATAGACTCTGCGAATTGAGCAGGACACCAACAACTGATGGGTGTGGTGGTGTAACGTACAACGAATGATCCCACAGAACACACGGCCAATAGAAGGACTGTCCAGAAGCTGTTGATGGAGTCGACATAATCCTGATCTAATCCACGTCCAAACCATTGTTGGGATGCTGCCATTGTTGTCTAAAACAAAAGAAAACATTCTTCAGCCGAATAAACATGCGTCCTATTTTCAACCTAACCTTTCAGTACATTTTTCTGCATATTTTATAGCATTAGGTGTGTTTGTCTTGAAGCAAAGAAACAATCTGTGATGTATGCGATTTTCTACCTATTTGTATATTGTATTTAACTGCAGCCATAATGAACAGCACTAAGTCGAATAACTGACGTTTCTTGTATAAAATGGAAACTGAGTCAGACTCGTTAAAAATATCGCTTCTGCCAAACTGTGACGACAAAATGAACCGTTTTGGACGGTGACACTATGGAAATAGACTTTGTCAATGTTTGCGAACTGTAGTCTAAAACAGAATCATTAGAGTTAAGTGTGAACATGCTACCCAAGATACCCAATCAACCAGTTGGTTATCCGCAAAGAGGTCAAGAAAGCAATCATTTCTTTTCATAAAAGCAACAAAACCCTTTCCACATCCATAAGAAATCTCTGCTAAAATCAGAGTCGATTGATGAAATATACTGAGTCAAAAAAGAAACTTCACAAAATGTAATTTGAAAAATAATGAATAATTTTTCTTTGATGATACATCTATGTATCCGAAATATGGGATCTGTCGACTCTAGAAAAACGTTAGAAAAACCCACTCAAACCCATCCATTCGTCGTGCAAATGATGTTAGTGCCAAATCAGGTTTTGCACGTGCAGTCGATCACGTGATCTTTGCATCGAAGTTTTCTTCATATGCACGTGTTTGCATTGGCCTCAAGAATTGAAAAAACACTTTTAAACCACAATTCTAACGGTACTTGAAATGCCACGATTGTCAAATGTGCAACGTGAACGTGCCGTTGGCATGTTGCAAGCGAGAAGATCACTTATTGACGTCGCAAGAGCAATAAGATGCAGCTGTCGTACTGTGTATGACTTGCGAGGTCGTCTACAACAAACTGGCACCACTTCTGATCGCCCAAGGTCGGGTCGTCAACGTGTGACGTCATGAGCAGAAGACCGTCAAATCGTCCTACGTCACCTACGTGACAGATTTCTGCGGCTACATTGGCGGTTGCGGGCTGCCAATCTCCATTCTCGACGTCCATATCGTGGGCCAATATTGACGCCGTTTCATCAACGTCAACGTCTGCCGTGGGCCCAACGTCTGCTCCGATGGACCCAGAGAGAATGGAATCGAGTCGTCATTAGCGATGAATCCAGGTTTACCCTCAGATTCGCGGACGGCAGGCATAGAGTCTGGAGACGATGTCGTGAACGGTATGCCCAATGTTGTGTACAGGAAGTCGACAGATTCGGGGTCGAGGGGGTGGAAGTTGGGGTGGGGGAGTGGGTGTGGGGTGCTTTCTGTTGGAACAACCGTTCCCGACTTCTGGTCATCCATGGAAACCTCACAGCTGCTGCTTACCGCAACCAGGTGCTCACCCCTGAACTCGTTCCTTTCATGGCGGCTCATCGCCCAGGTCTACAGTTCCAGCATGATAATGCTCGGCCGCATACTGCATGCATACTGCGCGATGCTGACACAAAATTTCCTTCAAAACTCTGGAATCAACGTCATGGACTGGCCATCGAGGTCCCCTGACCTTAATCCAATAGAGCACGTTTGGGATGCACTTGGGAGAAGGCTTCGTGGTCTTAGGAACCAACCTCAGAATTTGCAGGAACTTGGCGCTGCCTTGCAAGAGCAATGGCGCAGAATCCCAAACCACGTGTTCACAAGCATCAGGCAGTCGATGAGGAGACGGTGTTTGGCAGTGGTGAATGCGCGGGGCGGCCATACACGATATTGAACTGAGATATTTCGCATTTTTATTCTTGTGACTTGACATTCTGTATACCCATGTTTTGGAACGGCGGTGTAGCCTATTGGAACTGATTATGGCACTGTCAGTGTATCGAGTACATCACATAGATCTCAGCAATGAAATAATAACAATTTAACCATCTTACCATCTCTTGTTCTTTTATAGTGCCCTGAAGAAAGAATGTGAAGTTTCTTTTTTGACTCAGTATAGGCTACTGTATATATCTCCTGTGGAATAATTTGCCAAGTTAAACAACATTACCCCATCTAACCTTAGATGATGATATGACTGCCTTCCCTTTGTGAAGTGGTGATATCTATTTAACGCTTGTGATGTCTCACTGACAACACAGTTTCTTTGCCTGAACTCTACACACAACAGGAAACACACTCTGTTGTGTTCAAGTGTTTAGGGAAATCTGCAGATCATGGCCAAAGATGATTGATAGTTGCATTCAACCAATCTCTTCAAAGATGCAGTAATTGTTGCCATTAATAACTCATTTTGATACATTGCTTTGATTATGACCTGTTCTAGACAATTAACATGGCTAAACGAAAACCGCCACCCATCAAATAATTGTTGCTGGCTCCAGTTTTGAAGTTGTGTTTTTCCCATTGGATTTTAATGACGCTTTACTTGTTTGCTGTTTAACGCCGTACATATTTCCAGCTATTTTTCAGATGTCGGTAAATAGTATAGACCAGTCATTCCAGTTACTAACATCATGATGGCCAATCTACGGGATGCGATGGCAATCAAAGAAATCAGCCAGGCTGATCACCCGCTCTTACCACAAGCATTGGTTGTTGAAGTCCAATTTTAACACGGATCTTTATGGTTTTCAACTACTCATACACAGCAAACTGACTTTTAGCTTATTAGTCATCCAAGGTAAAACAAGTCACATCTTCTAACAACATTTTGTTGTGACACGGTTGGGAATGAAAGCCGATCTTTCTCATGCACCTTTTCCCCACTAGGACACTACGTAGTCCCTTCAAAAATACAGGCAAAGGAAAAAAATACAGGAAATATTTGACTCGACTTTCGTTTCCGATCCATAATTCCAAATATGCTTAATTTATTTCAGTGAATATAGTGCATTAAAGGAAGTAATTTAGTGCATTTAAAGAATCTGTGAATGATGTAAAATCAGCAGAAATCAGTAATACTACTATGATATTGAAGTATGACTGATTCTGATTGGTCAAAAAGAGGTTTCCGTTTTACTACTGAAACCTCTTGTAAAATTTAGCCTTATCACATAATCTCCTTGCCAAATCGCCATCAGAAATGTGTTCCTATAACCCTCATTTAGACGCTAGGTCTCTAGTACACATCAGCCTCTTGGACTTGAAGACGCCAAGTCAATTAGTGTGTAAAGATGTAATCGGATGGTCTTGACGACGACTTAGGTGTCCTTGGCGAGCCCTGACATGATTGATGAGAAGATGACAGCAGATGAAACCTACACATTCTTTATTTATCCTACAATTTATGGAGAGTATAAAGTACAAGTTGCAAAAGGTAATATTTACACCAATGTCACATCGCTATGTGACTTAATGTCTCTCAGAAAACTGGCTCCACTGCTTAGTGCTGTGTGACTTCTCTGCACATCAGATGAACATACTTTACAGCCACACTGGTGAATACTCTCTGGTCTTCCGCACTCGGTCTATACTGAGGCCTGCATGACATGAGACACAACACCACCACGTCTGACAAGTTGTGGAACCATACACTGAAGTCCAAAGGGCCAATGTTGATCAGCTCACACCACAGGTGATCTCTCACAGAGAGTAAAATATCACACTGCACGAAAGCATGAACACACGGATCACTATATATCAAACACAATTCTCACACAGGTACAGTATCTTTAATGTCTCTGGTGCTAGAACATAACTGCACCAGGAACTTGGACGAAAGCATGAACACACGGATCACTATATATCCAACCACAAGTCTCACACAGGTACAGTATCTTTAATGTCTCTGATGCTGGAACATAACTGCACCAGGAACTTGGACGAGGTTCGGTAAAGGGTGGTCTTCCCAAGACAATGTCCATGCTGGATGAACACACAGATCTCTGTGTATCTGTTCGAACCACCCAAGATCTGGGTCAACTGTTATCCTATCAGTCCAAGAGGAGGAATGGAACTTCCAAACAGCAGCTTTCATACTCTGTTTCCAAGAAGCCTTATGTGGAAATTTGCCAGCTGACAAGTATTCGTCTAGCACATTTGTCAACTGATACTTCTGGAGGAGTCCCATCAGATCAGGAATGAAACCTCTCGGTTGTGCACACACACACCATGAACAAAAGACAATAGTCTTGTCAAAAACACCTGGTGAGGAAAGTAGGATGTGTTCATGCTTATGAGGTTTCCAGCAAACACGAGTTTCTTTTTTATCTATCTCTGCTTCAAGAGGTAGTAGACCAAGGAGACCAAGACACACATCAGTCCTAGTTCTCTTTGGGAGGCCTTGGATCGTCTTTATGACAGGTCTGTAGGAACGTTCAAGCATAAGTATCTCAGTTTGGCTGAGAGAGTTCCACAGCTCGGTACATGCGTCTAGTGTTCTTTCCATTGAATTAAACCCGTCAGAGACTATTATGCCGACATGGTTTACTTGGTTAACTGATGGTAGTGGACGCCCATACAAGGAGAGTTCGTCAGTAACTTTAGATTTTCTGCTAGCCACTGCACACACTCAGTCTTACTGGGGGAGAATGTGAAGCGCCAGTTCTCAGGAGGGAGATGAGATTACAGGTACAGGAACTAACCAAGGCTACTTCATCGGCTCGAGTTCGACATCCTGTATTCAAATACATAATCAGGGCACCTTTCTTCGCTTCAGTAATATCGTCCAGGAGCTGGTTGATATACAGCAGATATAGCCTTGCAGACAACACTCCATCCTGACGTACACCTTGCTGAAGAGTGAACCACCTCGACTGCATGTTACCTATCAATACACAGCTCTCCATATCATGGTACAGCTTGTCTATAACAGTCCACAGTTTTCCTTTTACTCCACCATCATACAACTTCTTCCGCAAACCATCATGCCACACACTGTCGAAAGCTTTACAACTGTCAAGAATTAGCACATGAACGTCGCTGCCTCGCTCTAGGTAGTGCTGAACTGTCTCCTGCTGGTTGAATGAAGCGTGAGTTGAACAGAGACTTTCCTGGTAAGCCATCTGCTGTTTGTTAGGGAAACTGTTATCCTGACGCCCAGCGTTTAAGTGTGGCAGTAGGGCCATTTCAAAGACTTTCTCTGTTACGGGGCTTAGAGAAATACCACGATAACAGTTAGGGTCTTTCTTTCATTTGCACCCTCCTTTATGTAGTGGCAGGATAACACTTCGCTTCAAGGCTCGGGGAATGAAACCGATTTGAATGACAAGGTTATACAGACAGCTCACGTGATGCATTAACGTTCTTCCTCCAAACTGCAGATGCTCATATACTAACCCATCAATTCCACCTGATTTTCCATTTTTTAGCTTCTTTTACACTGTCTCAACTTCATGAAGTGTGATATGACTGGGATCACATGTGTCCGCGTTGCACAGTTTCCTTATCTCAGTGACCTGACTTTCAATGGTGCTTTTAAAGCTTTCATCAAAATGAGGCTTATCTGAGGACTGGAACACAGTTTCAAAGTGAGAAGCCCATTTTTCAAGCACATCATCAGGGTTGCTGTATGTGACCCCTTCTACTTAAATCGGTGTGATCACTTTGTCACGGGATCCTTTCAACCTTTGGTTCACCAGGTGCCAGAAAGCTTTTCTATTCAGTTCAAATGATTTCTCAAGGTCACTCATCCATTGAGATATCACATTATTCGCTGCCTGTCTCATCTCTCTCCTAAATTTGTCTTTATTCATCTTGTACTCCTTGAAAGACATGTGTTGCATGCCTCTGGGACGTCCCGCTTGTTACCATCAGTCTTGTTGTTGCCACAGTCATGTCCTTCTGGGAGACCTTTACGCAGTCTATCCAGTAAGGCTTAAGATGTTTCTGGAACCGTTTCAGAGGAAGTGTATCAGCGGCAGCATTTATCAAATAGGCGACAATTGTCTCATAGTATAGGTTTAGTCCCTCTTCACCGCAGTTAACGTCTACAACCGGCAGCGGCCGCTGGATATGTGACACAGCAAATGTTAAATCACTGATGATATCACGGTCACGACCTTTCTCCCATGCAACTCTATGATTCGCTCCATTGTCAATATGAAGTGTCAAGGCAGTGTCTCATGTAAATTCACATACAATGGGGTGATGATCCGAGACATTGAATTAGTGATCATCAAGTACTCTGGCATGAGTAACGTTCATTTGATAATTCTGTGACACAAACACATGATCAATGAGTGTCTTAGCTCCCCGATCATATCAACAAAAGGTCCAGTTTGATCCTTGACACTCCCTGTGTTACTATGGATACCATGTTGAAGGATGATAACAGGTGAAGAAGTCGTCTACTTCTGGAAGTCACATCTAGGTCCTGTAACTTTCGTGTTGAAGTCACCCATTACAATAACTGTATAGTCTTCACAAGATGATTGCATCCAACTCTCTAGAACGTCAACAGCCCATATAAAGTTTTTCAAGTGTTGCGTTATTGCTGGTAAATACACTGACAATATTACGATTGGTCGGCTATTTGGTATATGTATCTCTGCACCTATCACAAAGTCATAATATATATCAACCAATTGTGTGTATGGTGCCACACGTGATATACAGGAGGTATAGCCTTGCTATATTGTGACAGGATTAAAGCAACTCCTCCTCGTGCCGGGGAGTAATTTTCAGGAAGACCATCGTGATCACGAAAACATTTTACAAGGGAAGAATAGTCAGGTGGTAAATGAGACAGTAGATGCGTTGATGCAACTGATGTTCTGTAAGAGCACATATATCAACCGAGAATGTCTGCAGACAGTCAGTGAGATATGCAGCTAGGGACGTGAACCCTCTACAATTCCATGTCATTAGGCTTAGTACATCCATTTATCTTGCATTTTCTTTTGGTACTGACTCCATGGAATCCATTTCTTCACAATAATATGGTCTGGCCAGAAGTTTGGATCCTCAACTCTCACCTTATCGAGAGAGTCAACATTCAACTGAGCCCCCGCTGATCTCTTGTTAGGGTTATAATTAAAGCGGAGGTGTGTAACTCGGACACCTGTATCCTGAAGAAAGTCCCTCATTGCACTTTCAGTACACCGTTTGTCTATCCCTCCAATGAAGAACCGTAGGCATCCTTGGCCAACCCTGACATGATTGGCGAGAAGATGACAACACCAAACGAAAGCACCCGTCAGGGACATAAAACACAAGAAATGGCGCTTCTTTAAAGAAAGGTTTATTCATAACAACATAATCTTTATAAACGTATCCTGATCGAAATTCATCCCATTAAACACCAACATTAGGATTTGCAGAAGGAGACTTAAAAGTCCACTAGCCAATTCGCTTCAAAAAGTAAACTAGCTACAGTTTGACACCTACATGATTGTCATTATAAGGATACTGGGCATTTATAAAGCGCTTGTATCTATGCATGTGTGTATGCTCAAAGAGTTAAGTCATTATTACGCTAGTTAACCCAAGCTGCCTGTGAGGTTAGCAGTCATTTGACTTATTCGACCAGGTACCCATTCACCGCTGGGTGAACAGAGACATGTTTGAACAAATTCACTTGCCTAAGGTGAGACCACATGTATCGCATGTGCTTCGTTGTCGGGCAGGACGGAAATCTTACAAACTCTCAGGAGACAAGTTGCCGAACACGGTCACCAAGGATTCTGACCAACGTTGCCATACCTCACCTGATTTGTAACCCGATCTCTTAACTAGTGGTGTTCCGATTAATTGAAATAATCGAAGATTGGTCGCAGTGGCCAAACGACCAAGCAATCGATCACATTTTCTCATAATCGAACATAAACGATTTTGGAACTGCTGTAATAGAGTTTGAAATACGATCACGTTGTCCAGGGCCGGAAATTTTCTCATATCTAGGACGTCAGGGGCCGGAACATGATAAATATCGATTTTGGAACTGCTGTAATAGAGTTTAGAAATACTTGATGATGGAACATATCTAGGACGTTGTCAGGGCCTTGATGATAGAACATGTTTGCAAACGCGCTTCTTTCTAAGAAAACTCACTTCACTTTCTGAAAAGTCATGACTGAATATTTCTTGAAGAATCTAGGAAGTTAATGTTACACTGGAACTGAATCATTTTACACTGGATGTGAAATTTGCAAATGTAATTTGTGCAGTTTCTAAATAAAACAAAAAAACAACAACAGAGAACCAAATGTTTTTTTTTTATACTTATCTGCAACTACAACCTGAATAGGAAAATCTAAAAAATGATGCTAACCAATTTCTTTCGATGATTGGTCGTTGGCATTGAACCAGTCATCAATTGTGAGATTTCAACCAATTCCCAACACTACTCTTAACACAAGACCACACACCACCACAGCATTGTTACCCTGATTGCCCTCCAGACAAAACATTAACAAATAGTTAAAATTATATAACATAACACAGTAGTGTAGTGAGTAGGGTAGTGAGTTGAATATGAAATGCAGTTCAGTATTTGAACTAAGAAATCTTTGAATACAGGGACATACTGTGTGAGTTCAAGTGATTAATGTGAAATATACATGCACTAAGACCAATCCATTTAAAATTCACATTTATACTGTGACAACTAAACCGAGCCATCCGAAAATCACAACTGCAATATAGCATGTTGCAAGCATTAACAAAGTACACTTAAGAGAGTGTTAGTAGTTCATTTATATTGCAAAGTTAGGGAATGTATTGCAGTTGGAAACTTGAAATTCCATTGTACTGTCCCAAACATCTGCTTATTGTTCCAAAAGTGAAACTCTCTAGTTATGGGAAGAAATCGTTTGCATATGCTGCAGCCACTGCCTGGAACAATCTTCCCCTTGATGTCCGCCAGTGTCAAACCTGTTCTGCCTTCAAAACAGCTATCAAAACCCATCTTTTCCGCCAAGCTTTCTTCTGATCAAATCTCACTGCGCTTTGAGCATAATATCCAAGTATGGAAAAGCGCAATACAAATCCACTATTATTATATTATTATTATTATTAAATTAGTCTGGAATCATTTAGTGCTGAAACAAGTCAATGCAGAAGTCTGTCAGTGTAACAGGTGTTGGCAAACTGTGTTCCGAATTAAAAAGGAATCCTGAAGTTTCGAAGGTTCATCTCCAAATAATTTAGCCTTTGGGGCATTCTGAGATGTTCTCGTTTCACTTGAACTGTTAGTTTTGACTTATAGCTCATAAGAAAACAACTTATTTTGAATAACAACGATAAATGCCATGGGAAAATTAGCACAATGAAATATACAATGCCACAAAATCTGCAATTTCTCTGGGTATTCGGTCACTGATCATTCAGCATAAAGCTTCATCAATTCCTGTTCTCCAGGTAGACGGCATCACCTTCTTGTTCTTATGTGTGGATATCACTCTCAGCACGGTATTCTTCCTCCTCCTGAAACACCTGTTACAAATGCTGGGTGAGATCCGCTGCAACCAACTCGCTGGAATTCCCGGGATATCATGGACAAGACAAGGACACCATCGATTCCCAGGAAACTGCTGAAACTTTGAGCAGTTGTACAGGATATCGGCGCTATACAAATGTTTGTATGTATGTATGTAACGGAGGAAAGAGAAATCCTGCCCACAGGACAGGGCTAAGGATGGTGATGACAGCCAGGAGGAAGACCAAGTCAAATAGTAAAAGCGGCATGGTTACACCCCAACCATCCCATCGACCACACCCACCCCTCTAAATCCGCTCTCGCATGTGATCAGAGGGTCCTATACAATGACATTCCTGTTCTTATTTCCATGGCTTGATAAGATGATGCCACAGCAGGTGAGAAGGTCGATCTGTTAAAGAAAACGTTTAAGCCTCCGTCCCTTGAACAGAAACAAAAAGACAGAGTTTCACGGTCCATATTTCTTGTGCATTTCGCTCTTACAGTGACACAGGCGAACAGAATACATTCAATGCCAGCAGCATCAGTTCTGCTGTCACACAATCGGCTTTTTCTCCGGATTTTCAGCACCAGAGGGTAGATCAGGTATCAGTACAGTCACTTCCGTTCTTGTTGCTTCAGTAACGACATCGCCTCCTTCAGGTTTTCCTGTGTAAAGATGTCGCTGATTTTCACTTTCCTCTTCCTCCTGAAACAGTTGGTGCAAATGCTGGGTTAGGTCCGCTGCAACCAATTCGCTGGAATTCCGGGACATCATGGACAAGACAAGTACTCCATCAATCCCCAGGAAACTGCTGATGAATCGAGTTATAGAGTGTTCGCCTGGGCGAGATCCTTTGGCAGCGTTGACATGGGCAGCTATTCTGCCATCTCTTAGGAACGGCAGGAAGAGAAATCCTGCCCATAGCACAAGATTAAGGATGGTGATGACAGCCAGGAGGAAGACCCAGTACCACAGGAAAGTGAACATCTTCTCATAGATTTCAGTGATCGGCAGAGTGCACTGTACTGCATGTCTTTGAATTGACTGCATCATTTGAGTTTGAAAATAGCAAAAAACATCTTTGACTAGCACTGGTTTTATGATAGAGTCCATATCAAAACCAGCAGAGGAGCCAATCCTGATTGCCAGGTTTTGTCTGAAGTATATCGTCAGGAACATCATCTGTGCTATCAGATTGGCACACGAGAGGAGCTTCATTAACAGGTACAGAAGTGCCAGAGAGAATCGATTTCTTCTCAACAGACTTGCAAATACTCGGGCTGCGTGACTGAAGATGACCTGGCGATTCTCAGCATCGGTTACTTGTATACTTTTCAGTGATTCCACAGTTTCCTCCATATTGAAAGTGAACAAGTCCTTGGTGCTGTTCCAGATGATGTTTGGTACTTTGAAAGCGAGGGCTTGGAAGAAGAGTATGAGTGGTATCCAGAGGTGGTAGGAGGGGACAGAGGCAGGAGGTCCATCACTTTTATAATCAAGCATTGGTTTGTTATGATACATGTCCTTCAGAAAACACGATTCCTGTGTGTAAGAGTTCATGTTGAGTGTGAATACAGCAGGGTTCCAGCAACTGATGGGTGTGGTGGTGTAACGTACAACGAATGATCCCACAGAGCACACGGCCAATAGAAGGACTGTCCAGAAGCTGTTGATGGAGTCGACATAATCCTGATCTAGTCCACGTCCAAACCATTGTCGGGATGCACCCATTATTGTCTAGAAACAAATGAAAACATTCAGTCAAATTAGAAAGATTCACAGCTTCTGCAACTTTACCATTTATCATATGTATACAACATTATTTTAGCGTGAGATGACATCTTTTTGTTTCGATCATTAACTGATCAAGAAGTGCTTTGGGTAAAAATAGCAAGTGGCGAAGTTATGACGTTAAACCTATAAATGAAACGTTCTTAGCGTGCCCTACCTAATATTTTCCAAAGCAAAATAGTTAAAATGTTTAACACTTTGTCAAAGGTCTAAAATATATTCTCTTGGGTTAAATATACGTCGTAATATTGGAAATGACATTTAAGAGACAGCAGCAGCTATTGCTTGAATAAAGAGAGGTGTTGATATGACGGTCCTGGCGACGTGTTGTTACCCGGGGTCGACCACTACGTGGACGGTCATCAGTGCTGTTTGTGGCGTTGTATCGCTGTCTAAGACGTTCTATCGTTCGTACGCTGAAATTGGAATCATTAGCAATGACTCCAGCACGATGACCAGCATAGAGAACGTCCAATGGCTTGTTGTCGTTGATCTCTCTCGTTAACCTAGCCATAGCTGCTGTGTTCAGAAAACAAGTCAACGATTGCCATTCAAGCCGGCAATTTATGCCTGAATGCATGCACGATGCACGTGCATCTCAGTTTCAATGTTGTGTTTGTGCGAAAACATTTCAAACCTCAATCTCAAACAATACTTTAATGGACAAAACAGGCTATACGACAACGATTCATGTTTTCCTCCAACTTAACTTCCGGTGTATATTTTAAATGACATAGGCTCACATACTCCATTTATACTTAAATGTCATTTCCAATATTACGACGTTTCTTTCGCCTTTCAGTATATAAATATATTTGCCCCAAGGCACACCAGAGGAAGAGCGGTTATTCAGAAAAATGGTCAAGAAAAATATCGAAACGTTTCACCGAATAGAGAACATATAAATATATCATATTGTGTAGTGTACATCTCCGTGGAACAACCCATTGTTAAGCCTAAATACAACGTTAAAACATCAATACTTACAATGCTGAAGTGGATGTGTCCTCTTTGGGAAATGACTGTGAATCTGACCTGTTTGACGTCTCGCCAGGGGTAGCAGTACCGTTGTCGACACGCCCAGCTACAGTACTCAACACAACTGACGATGGTGGACGCTGTTCTGTTCAAGCGTGTGTAGGAAATTGGAGCAAAACATAGTGATTGGTTCTCACCATGCATATATACAGGTCTACTTATCCAATTAACCTGCTTGTATAGCCCTAATTATTGCAAATTGCTCCTTCTGGCATTTTCATATGTAAGAGTGCTGCTACCAGCTGCCGGGGTCTCCAAGAGTCATTCAATAGCCTCTTAGGCGGGTATGACTATGGAAATGGTTGGTTGGTTGGTATCTTGGTTTCTACAACCCCTTCTATTAGGGCTAATTTCGGGGTCCGTGGAAATGGTTCCGCTCTTCTTCGGTCAAATGTCCAGACGAGTCAGTACGTCCTAAATACATAATAACTGACGAATGGAACAATATGTAAACAGAGGCTCATGTGTAGTGTCCCGAAACAGCATTTCGCAGAATTATTTTAAAAGAATGGCTTGCTTATTTGTTCACAGAAGTGCAAAAGAATAAGATATTCAATAACAAACAAAAATAAATAAATAAAGAACCAATGTAATTTAAGAGTTGTGGGTAAAACCTCACTATTTCATATCGTTTAATAATGTGAAAAAGTCAAATCACGTCTTCCATCATTGGTTGCTATATAGCTAAAATATAGCCAATGCGACCTAAAATTGTAACTCACTCTGATTCAAAGTGTCTAAAAGGATGTCAATAACCCTTCAAAAGTCATGTTTCCATTTATGGCCTAATGGACAGAGCATCTGTCCAGTAAGGGGTTAAACAAGGAGCGGTCGACCCGGAAATGCTGTAATGTGTCAGAGACAAAGCATCTGACCAGTAAGGGGTTAAACAAGGAGCTGTCGATCCGGGATTGTGTAATGTGTCAAGAGACAAAGCATCTGCCCAGTATGGGGTTAAACAAGGAGTGGTCGACCCGGAAATGCTGTAATGTGTCAGAGACAAAGCATCTGCCCAGGAAGGGGTTAAACAAGGAGCGGTCGACCCGGAAATGCTGTAATGTGTCAAGAGGCAAAGCATCTGTCCAGTAAGGGGTTAAACAAGGAGCGGTCGACCCGGAAATGCTGTAATGTGTCAGAGACAAAGCATCTGACCAGTAAGGGGTTAAACAAGGAGCTGTCGATCCGGGATTGTGTAATGTGTCAAGAGACAAAGCATCTGCCCAGTATGGGGTTAAACAAGGAGTGGTCGACCCGGAAATGCTGTAATGTGTCAGAGACAAAGCATCTGCCCAGGAAGGGGTTAAACAAGCTGTAATGTGTCAGAGACAAAGCATCTGCCCAGTAAAGGGTTAAACAAGGAGCGGTCGACCCGGAGTTGCTGTAATGTGTCAGAGACAAAGCATCTGCCCAGTAAAGGGTTAAACAAGGAGCGGTCGACCCGGAAATGCTGTAATGTGTCAGAGACAAAGCATCTGCCCAGTAAAGGGTTAAACAAGGAGCGGTCGACCCGGAAATGCTGCTGAGAGGGACACTCAGATGAAACTGAGGCACAGAATCTCAGTGGAGTTCGGTATAATAGTCCTCGATACAAAAGTACCGGTAAAGAAGTCCTAAATTTGCCTAGGTGAAAAAGTCCTCGGACAAAAAGTCCCCTTTTAATTTTCTAACAAGAAACGTGTAGAAAAACACTGCTTTTAATTTTTTTAATTTTTATAATGCATTTTTAACATGATGACATGAGATAATCTAAGCCTTTCAGTAATCTGATACTTAGATTTATGTCTAACTTAAGTCAAAACTCAGACTTAAGTTTGTTTCGAGAAATCAGGGCCGGATGTTCATTGCCACTCCGTACATAGACTCGGGGATGGAGTTTATCAGTTTATCGTGGAAATACATGTATCAGATAAATAAAAACAGAATGCCCTTTTCTCCAACATTTTTCGTTCTTTACTCTTTTGATATATATGACGGAACACATGTACTATATTGGACATTTTGTGCGTATATATATATGTGATGATGCTCCTACCTTACCTGAGCTTTTAGAACAGTTTCGATTTTAGTATATTTAAAAGAAATATAACTTTGTCAAAATAAAAATTTGTATCGCAGTTTTTAACCGTCAATGTGCCATTTGAATTTAAGTGATTTCCAAAATCACTGATACATTGGAAAACACAATACATCTCTTGGGGCGAATAGCTGAAATATTGCTTGCGCGGCGTAAAGCAATAGTCATTCATTCATAAATAACTCTAAAGGTCACGAGCGTACACTGTGCAAGTAAGGTCATCCCTGGCTCAGCGTGATCGCTTGTTTACTTTCATTCACACGTGGTTCGTGAAACTGTCCATCGGTGCAGTTTAATCTCGTAAGGAGTTCAAAGTGAAAATGTGAAATCTCCTATTTTCAAGTTTTGTAGCATAACGAAACGTACTGATTTCAATACGAGCAGTTTCAAACCGCCATCGTTTAGAATAACAAAATCTAGATTACAGTTACCGTTTATGCAGCGATGTTTAGTCTTGACTTAGTACTTGAAATTCTTCGTGGAATATCCAACTTCGGCAAATAAGTCGTATTTATATGCTGGCCGATTCACTTGCAACCAAAATGGCCGTCAAAACTCCATCAAAACAAACTCCTGTAAATATCTATAACGGGCACACATCGAACAGGACATGGATCGACAACCGTACTGTGAGAGGTACTGGCAGAAGTTTCATGTTGGTTCCCGTAGTAGTTCCTGCAATATCAGTATGAGTATAGTTTTACGCCGCATTCAGCAATATTCCAGCTATATGGCGGCGGTCTGTAAATAATCGAGTCTGGACCAGACAATCCAGTGATAAAACACCATGAGCATCGATCTACGCAATTGGGACACGATGACATGTGCCAACCAAGTCAGCGAGCCTAACCTCCCGATCCCGTTAGTCGCCTCTTACGACAAGCATGTGTTACTGATCAATTCTAATTCCGGATCTTCACGGGTTCCAGCGGAAGACACTATAATGGTGATCCGCACGTGTTCGAGACCCTAACACACACACACGCACGCACGCACGCACGCACACACACACACACACACACATGCTTTGATCACTGTCTATCTCAACAGCTCCGCACCACAATGGGGAAGCCCGACTTTCTAAAACATAACAAATAACAGACTGAGGTACTGTCGGCTTATATAGAATTGCCTCTTCGAAGAATAGAATTACTATTCGTCCATGGGCTCAGCATTCAGTACAACCTTGGAACAGCTACTGTAATGGTTAAAGTGTTCGCTCGTCATGTCGAAGACCCGGTTCGATTCCCCAAAGGGAACAATGGGTTAAGCCCATTTGTGGTGTCCCCTGCCATGATATTGCTGGAATATTGCTAAAAGCGGCGTAAAACTAAACTCACTCACTCATCCTACATCAGTGAATTCGGCTGATGAGTGCGTTTACAGCCGCGTTTCGGTTACATCGCGGCGTGTGTACGGCTTCCATCCAAACATTTTAATGGAGAATCGGTGAAATTGCGCAATAACTCCGCTCTCTGTCTTCCCGTGTTGTGTTCGAACAAAGCCAGTGGCGCTCCAATTCCCACGGAACTAAATACTTGGAACGAGGTTCCTCGTGTTCTGCATCTGGGCGTGACGGGGAAATGAGTACGAAAGCCTTGTGATGCCACTTTCGTAGCATGAAATTCAGCGACAATTCTCGTTACTTCGAGTATTTTCTCGTTATTTCGTTTATTTTCGCATCACTTCGTTTTTGTCAAAAACTTGAAATTTCGAGTATTTCTTCGTTGCTTGAGTATTTTCTCGTTACTTCATTTATTTTTTAGTTGCTTCGATAAATATTTCGTTGCTTCGTGTATTTTTCCCGTCCCTTCAACTTTCTGTCAAAATTTTGAAGTAGCCTACCCAAATACTCGAAGCAACGAGTAAATACTTGAAATTTCAAGTTTGCTGCAAATGTGGCAGTATTAGGCTTTCGTAAAAATGAGAGAGCCGTTTAAATGTGTTTATTCGAAAGGCCTGATATCGAAATATACTGCACCAGACAGTTGCTCTTCCGGAATGACACGAGTTTTCACGAATGGCACACGATGTTCAAGTCTCAGTTCTTAGATAGACCCGGAGAACGGAAGGTCGCGGGTTCGATCCCCGACCGCGTCATACCAAAAGACGTTAAAATATGGTGCTTGTTGGTCCCTGCCTGGCGCTCGGCATTAATGGGTACAACAAGGACTGGTCGGCTCGGAGTCAGTATAATGTGTCTGAGTGGGGTATTCATGCTTCACTGCGGCATGGTATCTCAGTGGGCTAGCACTATAGACAGACAGACAGACAGACAGATATAGTTTATTAAGGTGTCACGTGAACGATTACATGAAATAAAATACACAATATATATAATAAAATATCGTTCACCCAGCCAATAAGGCTTATGAGACACCATACACAATTTAAAAACTATGTATATCTCGTTTTAGAGTAAAATATAAGAGGTAGTTTAAATGAATAACATTTTTACAGGAATAGGAGTCGTCTTCTAAACATGTTATTCACAGTTGTTGATAAAATTAGCGGGTCTGACGACATTAAAATACTTAATAAATGCACATTGTTATCATACTTAAAATCTCCATTTATAAGATGATATCTAAGATCCTGATAAAAATAACAGTGCAAAAGAAAATGTATCTCGTCTTCCACACAATTACAGAAAGGACAAATTCTCTCACACAGAGGGGTGGGGGGTTTGCTGTAACGACCTGTTTCTATACGTAATTTTACATTACCGCAGCGTAGTTTGGTCAGGTTACTTCTCTTAGCTCTGTTGATAATTTGTAGGTATAGCTCAGGATGTCGATCTTTCTTGAATAATCTGTACGTTCGAAGCTTATTTCCATTTACTTTGTTCTTGTCGTTCCACATTTCCGTAAACCATATTTCCTCATCTAGTTTCATTAAAAACTTTTCATTGTTAAAATAGTCATCTTCACAGGGTCTAGAGATGTTAAAATGGAGTCCAACTTCAGTTTTTTCCCGAGATGCTGTGCTGTGTAAGCAAAGGATCCTCTTTTCTTTATAGACCAGTGGAAAAGTATGTTTGGTAATCTGTTGGTTATCTGTTTGGCTGATTTGATATAAAAACGGAACGCTTCAATCCTCTGCTTTGTAAGACAAGTTGCCCAGTCCATTTCACCGTGGATAGCTATAGTGGATGTATTGCGCGGCACTCCAAGGAAAAAACGACAGGCTCTATTCTGTATACTGCTGATTTCACGGTGTCCGTACATCCCCCAGATAGGCGCGCAGTATAACAGTATAGGTTGTACAGTAGATTCGTACAGTTTCCTGTAGACGTCATAAGCCATGTCACCACACTGTTTATACTTTGTAATCAGGAGAGATAGCGCTCTACTTGCACTCTTGGCAATTTCCTTCACTGCATATTTCAAACTCAAATGTTCCTGGAACCATAGTCCTAGATATTTGTAAGTATCAACGTAGTCAAGGCTCATATTACAACAGTTAAACTGAAACTGTGAACGAGAAATCCCATCTTTCCTGAAATGCACAATCTTAGATTTGTTGATATTTATTGACAGTCTCCACTTGTAACACCAACTTGTAACAATGTTCAACATTCTCTGAAGCTTTTCTTCTGTGGGGGCGATTAAAACAATATCATCAGCATATAGTAAAATTGACACAAACATATCATCAACTGGTACACCATCATTAAGCTCGTCGATCTCTTGAGCCAGGTCATTTATGTAGAGAGAAAACAGAGTTGGCGACATCATGCAACCTTGCTTCACACCTGTGTTTACTGTAAAAAAAAAGGAGTAAGGTGTTTATTAACTCTAACAGTACTGGTAGTGTTCCTATACAGCGACTGTATGGAGGCAAATATCTTCCCACCAATTCCAGCTTTCCGTAGCTTCAACCAGAGGCAGTTCCTGTCAACGTTGTCGAAAGCTTTCTTTAAATCAATAAAACACGTAAAACTTCCACACTTAGAGTCCAGCCGCGACTTCAATATGGTATACAGAGAGTATATGTGGTCGAAACAGCTTCTTTCCTTCCTAAAACCATTCTGAGCATCTGATAGCAAGTTACTTGAATCTAGCCATTTTGATATGCGTTGGTTTAAGATTTCACAGTATATTTTACATGGCACGGAAATGAGAGATATTCCACGGTATGACAAAGGTTGACGGAGATCTGTATCACTCTTGACAATCGGGTTGATAATCGACTGAGTCCAGCTTGTGGGCGCTGTTCCAGTATCAAAACAGATGGTAAAAAGTGTAAACAAAATGTCAATACTGCTGTCATTTTTCAATGCTTCAGCTGTTAAATCATCAATACCGGCTGCTTTCCCATTCTTAGCACGGTGTACCGCTCTCGTGACCTCCTCCCGGGTAATTGGGCCATTAAGCGTAACGTTCTCGTGCTGCTGCTCCCCCGTTACCGTTACTCAGCCGTTCAAGCTCGTGCATCACGTGCGTCATGTGATCTTCGTCATACGGCTGATCGTTGTTTCCCGAGTACAGTTTCTCAAAGTCACTGTTCCATCTCTTTAGAACACCATTAACATCACAGACAACTGTACCGTCCTCTAAAATCACTTCCTCTGGAATAACACATTTTCTTTCATTTGCGATACCAATGTTTCCTATTAACTTCCAAAAGTCTGTATCTGTTTGATTTAATTTCTGTAGTAAATTGTTCTGTTTCTCTGATTGGTGTCTCCTCTTGAATTTTCTATTCATTCTGTCGAATACCTTAAAACCAGCTTAAGTCTGGGCAGCCGCACATTGTACATACACACGCATGCACGTCGTCATATGAGCGAAATATTCTCCAGCACGACGTTAAACCCAATTTCACCTCACCTCACCTAGATAGACAGACCGGGATTCGAACCTACGGTATTAAGTTATGCGGTGCTAAGACGACTTGGCCAGTCCGGTTTCACCACAGATGTCTGTGATTGGAATTCTTCTATTCTGCTTCGTTCTTGGCGGTTTTCAAAACGCATGCAAATGCAACTGAAAAACAGACACGTGAAAATCCCGGTTGGGAATGATCTCCGGTAACCCATGCTTGTCGTAAGAGGCGACTAACGGGATTGGGTGGTCATGCTCGCTGACCTGGTTGACACATGTCATCGTATTCCAATTGCGTAAATCGATGCTGATGTTGTTGATCACTGGATTGTCTAGTCCAGACTCGATTATTTACAGACGGTGGTCACGTTTTGAATGTTCGTGATTTGCGTGGATTTCTTTAGATGAACCTGTTTCCAAACTGCCTGATCAAATTTAGACTTACACTTCATCATTAAGGCCAACGTCTTGTAAACTCGATGGTATCGAGTGGTTAGAAACTGTTCAATAACGGTCATATTCGTATGAACATAATCATAAAATCGTTGTCTGCCGAGTGCCAAATAAACACATTCAAGCAAACAATGCTGACAGAAATTGTACGATTAAAAAGTAAAAAATTGACATTCTCCTTCCGTTATAGAATCTCGAACGACTGCACGACCAGAAGACTCTGGACGCCAAACGCCAGGATCTTGTCATCTTCAACATTCATCAACTAAAACAACCAAGCAGCTT